TGGCGCGGGCCGGAAAGAATCACTTCCACAGCCAGCCAGCCAGGAGGCCCAAGCCAACAATCGCCACTGGTGAACCCGAAGCATCTCCCAGAAGGCTGCAGGGAGGGAAAGGACGGCATTGGGTATTGAACCCAAGCCCTCCTGAGTGCCACTTACGTGCTCAACCAACTGAGCTAGCCCGCTTGGGCCTTTTTTTTTTTTTTTATTTGGACCATTTGCGAGGATCAGGGTCCTCGGTAGGCCTATGGGGCCCTGTCTGCAGCCTTACCCGCCCTTAAGTGAAGGCGGAGGTGCCCACCGTAAGTGAAGGCGGGCCTGGCTTTTTGCAAAAGGCCTTCGACTGTCAATTTCGTATTTGGGGTTCAGGCAGTTGCGACGCGCCAGTTGGTTGAAAGAAACACAGGCTGAGCAACAAGGACATTTCCACGGCCTACCGGGCCTTTCCAAAGAATGCAGGCCCTGGCCGTGATTCGCAGCCTCATACAGAGACAGTTGGGCGCCCAACCGAACGAGGCCCAGCAGCCCAGTAGCTGCTGCATCCAGGCAGCCTCCTGGGGCCTTCCGGAAGCTTCTGGGCCCAGGCCAAGGCAGCCAGGCTGCGTGAGCAGGCCAACTCTTTCCATAAAGGAAAGAGCTCGGCACTGGCTGCCTCATTCAGGCACTCGCATGCTGGGCGGCAGCGCTGCTGGAGCTAATGCTCGTAGGCTGCTGCTAGCGCTGGGAGGCGAGGTGCAGCACGTGCGGTCGTGCAGAGGAGGAGGGCGCTGCTGAGGGCAGCGCCATAGCCCAGCCACCATAGCTGGTGGGCTTGGACTACAGTGAAGCGCAGGGGTGGTCTTCGGGTGACAGAGAGGACAGGTGTGGGTGAAGTCAGGGGATAGTTGAAGGATGATGATGATGATGATGATGATGATGATGTGAGGGCACGTACCTTGTATTGGCGATGGTCTGCATGGGCGGCATCTTCAAGTACTTCGGGCTGCTGCTGATGTCAACAGTCGCATTGTCCATTGTCTTTTTGTAGTCTGTAGTAGCTGTGTAGGAGTAGGCTGGGCGCTGAGCGCCAAGTGTGAGTGTAAGGGAACTGGACTCTTTTGTTGAGAGGAGAGAGTGTGCTCTCCACGGACATTGGTTTTCAGTGCTACGAAACTCCATTGGTGTATTATTGGTGCAATGCTGCTMTCTGGACACGGTGTGACTATTTGGCTTGCAATGTGATGGTGTGATTTGGGATTGTCATCTCGCTGTTGCTTATTTTCCTTGCACATTTCTCGATTTATGCGTGTGGCCTTGCTAATCTTCTTTCTCTCTGTATCGTTCCAATCCTTTTAATGGATATCCCGGAGGACAGCAGTGCAGGATATCGGGCGTCGCCACACCACTCCCGAAATGTGCAAATTCAGAATGAACTTCCCGCTAGAACATGGCCAGATGCGCCCGCTACATTTTTGTCTTTTTCACATTTGGAGAGCGGTGTGGCGAGGCCCATCATTTCATTGTCCATCAAGTACTTCGTCGAACTGTCTGTCTGGTTCAATAACCCACACACACCCTGTTGGAAAGGGGCCTCAGATCTCAGGAACCTGAGCCATCTCTCAGGGATGGCCTGTTTAATTAGAAACAGGTAGTCATGGGCGTATTGGGGATACAGCCAAGCTTCTACCTGTGTATCCCTGCTTGAGGTATTATAGGGGATGATTCCGCTTCGTGGTATGAATGATCAGTTGGTTCTCAAAGATAGGTCTCTGGCTTCAGGTTCTCTGAGCAGCACAGGTTGAATAGAGTCTTCCAGGCTTTCAGGATAGGTTTCCAGGCCTCAGATTTAGGGTTGGAATAATTCTCTGAATCTGGACGTGTTTGTGGAGAGGTGCAAACAGTTGTGATTGAACTGCTTTTCTGCATCTCCAGATTCAGCCGCTTATTCCAATCCTCTTTGCCAGTGGGATCTGGCCCTTAGTCCTCTTGTTGCAAAAATGCCGCAGCAATAAGCATACTAACCAGACGTCAGATGTCAGATGGTCTGCACAATCCCCATTTTTGGGCCAGGATACAGTCAGCAAGAATTATCCAAGGTTTCTTGTCAGGATCAAAAAAAAAAAAAAAAAAAAAAAAAGAAGGATCAAGCATACCTCGTATAAAGCATTTACACACACATCAGCGCCCGATTCCGAGTCTCTGGGTCTCTAAAAGTCCCATGCCCTCCATCATCCCTTTTTTTTTTTTTTTTTTTTTTTTTTTAGGTGGTGCTATCTAACCTGTCTCTTATACACATCTAGATGTGTATAAGAGACAGCAGGATGTACAGAAGAAAGACTCTAACCTCCACCCATGTGTCTGCGAACACACCATTGTCCGGAGGGTATAGTACATAAGTGGATACCTAGCCATCCATTCAAGAGTGGCATGCTTTACCACTGGATACCTCTTGAGTGCTTTCCAGATGGATTGGGCCCATTCTAGGCTCCTTGAAGCGGTACCAGCCCGATCTTGCCTGGTTCTCGTCCCATGCACCTTTTTTTTCTTTTTCTTTTTTTTTTGAAACACCGGCAGTCGCAGATAGGAGTGATGGATGGTACGAGCATACGCTTCTATCTGCTCCGCCAATGGCTCGTCCCATGCGCCTTAAGTTTGACTAGTACGCAGAGTTCATTCGCCTCAGAGCTTTTAAGACGATAGCCCGACGAGACTGTGCGGTAGTCCAGAATGGAGGCTCTAGATTGTTGCTCTGAGATGTTGTGCCACCCATACATCTCTGCATCGATTTCCCCTTGTATGATTGGTCTGCCCTCCATGTTGAGCTGGTAAGATGAGACTGGTCCTTGATTCGATCGGTTGGTGGATTCCTTGACTTTGATTCCTAGGTAGTCTGCATCGATTTTTTTTTATTTTTTTTTTATTATTTTTTTTTTTTTTGCATCGGTTGGCGTGCAGAACACTGGAGACCGGTCCTTGATTCGATCGGCTGGTGGATTCCCCTTTGCTGCTTCTCTTGCCTCGCTGTCTGTGTGTCCTCTGTTCCATCTCCCTCTCCCAACTTCCTCAGTTCCTTCCTCCCCATCCCCCATTTGGAGCAGCGCAGGAGATTTTTTTTTTTTTTTTTTTCTTCCTCTCTCGTTTCCCCTCACACTAGTTACCCATGTCTACATCCTACCCACAAGTCCTACAAGGCAGATAATGGATCGCGTCCAACTACCCCAGACAAGCAAGGGGTACAAGAGCCGATTCACACATCCAGAGAACCCGGATCTGAGACTGGAGTACACATCAAGGGTCTGAGGCCACCTTAAATTTACTCACCAGAACTAAGCTATCCTAAGGTTATGGGCCTACATCCTACCTATCTCTGCATTTACTAACCAGAACTAAGCTATCCTAAGGTTATGGGCCTACATCTACCTATCTCTGCTCTGTGCGGGGAGCAGTACCCAAGCTCCTACAGCAGCGGAGATGGTGGCTCTGCTGCCGTAAGTCTTGCCGGAGTGAGGTAAAGAGGACTGATGGGGGGGTCCTGAGTCGTTTTCTGAATTTTGTCTATTTCTGAAGTTTGTCGAAGTAATTTCCTAAGTAGCTTCAATTTTTCTTAGCCAAAGTCGGGTAATGGCCCCGGTATCTCNAAAAAAAAAAGGGCGAAATCCTCTTCTAATTAGTACTTCCAGCTAGGCTACCAGCCGGGCCGCCCGGGTCCCGGGTGGCCATCCCGTGCAAGGACCAGGGAAGGTCCCAGCAAAAAAAACAAAACAAAAACAAATCCAAAAAATCCACAAAAAAAATATGTTATGCAGAAAAATAAACTGAACAACTTTTTTTTTTTTGTTTGTTTGTTTTTGAAAAAAAGGCAGTCGGGAACCGGGCCCGGCGTCCCTTATATTTCAATAAGTCAGGAAACGGGCCTGGCATCCCTCACAAAAGGTGGGTGGCCCCATTGAAGGCCGAGACATCACCGGTCAAGCCCTAAGATCGGACCACTGTGTTCACTGCAAACCCTAAGATCCGTGAGAAGTACTAACAAATAGCTGCAAGCCCCGATCATCCCTAATACTGTTTCAACGCACGGCAGGTTTGATAACAACAGCTAGTTTCTGCAGGCCAACAAAATCAACAGGCCAACATAAACCATACTTGCGGCGCATCTGTGCGGTGCGCGATGCGGTGCGGTGTGCGACGCGCTGTGCGCCACCCGGCCGTGCGCGCATCAGTACGCAGTGCGTGCGCATCGGTGCGCAGTGCGCAGTGCACGATGCTGTGCGCCTCGTTGCAGTGCGCAGTGCGTCGGTGCGCTTGGCCGTGCGCGTGCCCTGCGCATCTGCGCGCACGGTGCGCGTGGGAGGGCGTGATATATATTTTTTTCCTTGCCGTGATGCAGTGGCAGTCCATGAAGGAAAGCTCAGCCTGTTCATCACCTCTCAGGCTCTTACGTACAAGGCCAGCCACGTGGATGACAGGTTGAGTGCTGGCTGCCCCCATCCCCGTGTGTCACAAGGTCCCGCTTGCACATTGCTGTAAGGCAAAGAGGTAAGGAAAAGGAGGAGGAAACCAAACCTCCCACTGCTCACAGGAAAGAATGACACATTCCACAACTGATCCAACTGCCGCAAAGCAAATAAGTTAAAACTTGAAACAAGCTCAAATAACACATCCCACAGATCAACATTTTTTTTTTCTTGCTTTTTTTTCCTTTTTATCTTTTTTTTTTCTCTAGCAGCATGCGGAACTCACCTGATGGTCGTGTTGCGCGTGCAATAGCGGCAGCAATGTCCACAGTTTCCACACACAGCCATCACGAGAGGCAAAAACAGGAGACATGACAATCAGATCACAGCAAATGACATCACGGCCCTTCGACACACACATTTTGCAGCAAGAAACCGAACACACGAAAGTTCAAAAACGAATTCTAAAGAACACACAAACTGAAACACTTCCAGAACAGTAGGAAAGACTCAAAATTTCAGAAATCTTCATCAGAATTCAGATTGTTAAAAGTTTGGCCTTTCAAAAGCAGGCAAAAATGTGAACATTACTCTGACTGCTCAACCACTGAACACTCGACTGTATCTACGAAATGTGCGAAATGTGCGGTCTACTCTGCCTCCTCCCCTTACGCGTGCTCCCCGCCAGACTCCTCCTGCGACTGCTCGTCCTCGGAAGCCTCCTCCGATGATGACGAGGATGATGACGATTGGGATCTTTCTTCGGACGATGATGACGTCGATCTAGAAGACTGTGCTGCGGCCTTGCCATGCAGGTTGTCATCTCCGTCCTCCATGACCCGGGGCGCACGCTTCCTCTTCGGCCTTGCCTCTGCAACGTCAGATGCTTTTGCTGCCTTGGCTGCGGTCTCTTCGTCTTCTGCGGCCTTCTCCACAACCTTCGCTGCAGCATTCGCAACCTTCTTTGCAGGTGAAAGAGGAGGCCGCCCCCTCTTCCTTTTCGGCGGCACGACTTCATTGCCTCCCTCCTTACTCTTCCCCCTGCGCGTTGACCATGTTTCATTGGGCTTGGGTGTTGCTACCTTTCGTTTCTGTTGCCAACGCCCTGACGCCTCCTCTCTCTCGTGCACCCAATCACCCACTTGTCGTGCGCTTATGGCATGGTCACGGCCCTCCAGCGTGTAAAACGATTGCAGTTTTTGGCTCCTGGAGGCCCGACTTTCGGCGCAGCTCACGCGCTTGGTGCTTCCCTGGCTTCGTGTTCGTATGCCAAGTGCGTTGCTCTGAGCCGAGCAGGGCGATGTCATCCTCCTCGTCCGCGAGGTCGTCCTCCTCATCGTTCTTTTGCCACGTACGCACCAAAGGGCCATCTTCATCATCATCATCTGCAACCTCCCCCACGGCTGCATCAGCAGCGCTTCCATCAATGACCTGCCTAGTCCAGTCTTCATACCACTCCTCCACCTCCGTCTTCGCAAGGTCATTGTCCTTCCAAGGAATGTTGTTGTCCTCCGTCTCTCTGCGCTCCCTCCTTATGGCCAATTGGATATTCCAATTGCTGTAAACCAGCTTCACCAGTCTCTCGGGTAGGAGTGTGGTGCGCCGCTGTCCGTATATGAGCTGGTGCAAGCTCCAGTTCCGCTCGCACGCGGCCGAAGAGCTCACCTGGCCGATAAGCTTGATGGCCTGCGGTTGGAGAAGGTCCAATGATCTCCGGAACGCCTCCCACCAGAGTGCTGGTGTTTGCTGCTTGGCCTGCTCCTTTGCGTTCTGTGTCTCGAATGTGCCCAATCCGCGGACCCAAAAGTTGACTTGCCTGCTGATTTCATTCAGCAGCTCCGGTGCCGCCCAAGAATAGAGCCAGATGTTGAATCCCTCGCGGATCTCCGTGTCCCGCATGGTCAGCGACCGATACTCCGGATCGAGAAAGGTTGCAACGCAATGCAACTCCGATGTCAAGAACGCCCACCGGTCCATGAGAATGTTCTCCACCGCTAACTTTTCGTCCTGCGTTAGACAGTCGAGGACTCGCATTTGTGCCACAATCTCGTCCATGCCGAAGTAGACTTTGCTGACAGTCGCTCTAGGACCGTCCACCAAACGCAGCAACTTGACTACGAGCTCCATGACAGCGATTGCTCTATCGACCTCATCCCAAAAGTCACTGTCCACGATGGTGCGCGTAACAGCGTGGAATGCCGCCACCTGTTCAACCCTCACCAACTTGTTAACCCATGCCACGTTCCCGACGCACATCTCAAGTGAAGTCCCCCCTCTCTTTAGCGACTCCAGCATTTTGAAGTTCGTTGCGAACCTCGTGACAGCTGGGCGTTTGAGTTGGGCGCTTGCGATTCTGTTGAACATCGCGCGGACCTTGTCAATGTTGGTCACAAACTTGCCTACTCGGTTACCCTTGTCGACGACTTCCTTCATCCAATCCAATCGCTTGTACATGTCTTTCAGCGCCAAGTCCAACGCATGGACCGTGCAGCCGACACTGAAAATCCCGGGCTACTTCGCCTCCACCATCTTCTCAGCCTTCGAACAGACCCTCACATTGTCCATCACGACGTCGACGACGGACTGCGGACCAATCTCCTCAATGACTCCTTCCAGCAGCTTGAAGTAAGCCGCTGAATCCTTCTCGGAGTCCTTGCCTTCCATGCAAACGGACTTCCAAAACACAGTGCCAACCGGGGAGGAAACCATCACGTTGAGATGTGGTTTGTTCCTCCTATCCGACCACCCGTCCATTTGCAGCATGCAGCCCGTCCTCTTCCACTTCCTCACAAGACTCATCATGTCGTCCCCAACAAGTTTGCGCTGCTCGTCCAACTGCTTCGTTCTCATCTCGTCCCTCTTGCACGACCACCAACTAGGATGGCACTTCTTAATTGCATCGATGAGCTGAAGGAAGTAGTGGTCCTCAACCAAGCTGAACGGTTGGTTCGTGCAAATCAGGAAATGGTCCAGGTGTTTGCTGGTCTGCTCATTCCGAGTGATGATGTTGTCCGCCTCCTCGATCAGAGTTTGCCTCATCGGCTGTCCGACGGACAGTGCGGCGTTCCCGGACGTCGCGGGTGTGTTTGATCCACCAACGATCGGAACAGGGGGCCTGCTCGCTGTCGGGGATGGGACGACCAAGCTGCTCCAAGAGGGAGCTCCGCTCGGACCCGCACCTGCGCTTCCCTTCCCTCCAATAAGGGATTTCGCCTGCATCGTTCCCATTCGAATCCCCTCTGTCCTCCTCAAAACCCTCCTCTGCGCCCAACTGGCGGGTGACACGGTCAATACTACACTTGCCCTTCAGGAAGTGGTCCCTGAGGTTGGTGGCCGACCCAACGAACCGGGTCTCGCAGTAGTTGCAGACATAGTGCTTATGCCCCTTGCTCTTGTTTTTCCCGGCCGGACCGTTGTCGGTGAAGTGCCTCT